TTTGATACACAACCAAAATAAATTTTCTTTCTTGGGAGGGGAGGGTGAGACAGGGTCTATGTAGTCCAGGCTGGCCCCAAACTCACGGTACTCTCCTCCTGCCTCAGCCCTGAGTGCTGGAACTACAGGTACGCAGCACCATGCCCAACCCAAAATGAATTTTCAACTAAACAGATTTGAATGCACTAGAATTACAAATTGTTACACATGGAGGAAGGGGTAAGAATGATAAAACAGCATAGACACCTAGCTCTATTAAGGAATTCTGCCATACAGGTAAATTCAAAGATGGGAAAAGAGGAAATGATAAGAGAGGGGCCTTAGATAAAGCTGTAGATCATACACCCCTTCAAACACTTTCTGTAGGCAACTGGCTATACAATGAAGGTCAGGTAACAGCTTCACATTATAAGATTAAAACAGAATCATTCACAAATGGATGAAAGAATAAGAATTTATGTAGAAAAGGAGAAAGACTAAAGGCAAAGGCTTAGGGATGTTTAAGCATCCCTTGAACATGGGCCAGGGATTTAGCTCAGTGGTTTTGCCACCTGCCTCACAAGCACAAGGTCCCAATACCAAAAAAAAAAAAAAAGTCACTCAAACACAGGGAACCCACGAAGGAGACTCACTTGTTGGCTCACCCATTCATCAAATATTTATGGGGGCCAGGGATTTAGCGCAGTGGTTCTGATGCCTGGCTCGCAAGTGCAAGGACCCAAGTTTGATCCCTGGTACCAAAAAATAAATAATACCAGAGAACTGGAGACCACCCACACCAACAGAAAAATGGCTGTGTCCTCAGGGAGATTATCACCTGCTGGGGAAATCAAATTCATAAGATGAAGTCAACAAAGACAAAGGGAAATGGATACTCCTAACCAAGACCCAAAGAGGTCAAGGAAGACTTTCCAAAACTGAGCTCAACACAGACTTTGTGTTATGAAGGGATAACACAGGAAAAAGGGGACAGAGAAGGTAGGAGGAAGGAAGCAGTATCCTAAACAAAAACACTCCACGATTAAAGACAGAATGGCAGCCAGGTGTGGTGGTGCACACCTACAATCCCAGCACTTGGGAGGCTGAGGTAGGAGGATCGCAGAGAGTTCAAAGCCAGCCTGGGCTACATAGTGAGTTCCAGGTCAGTCTCAACTACATAGGGAGACCCTGTAAAAAAAAAAAAAAAAAAAAGACAGAATGGCACACTGCAACACAACAGGCCAGAGTGGCTAATGCCCAAGTGAGGTCTGAAGGAGACTAAGGAAAATCCGATCTTTACCAAGCGCTTTGGGGACCACTATAAGGTTTAACTAAGGGTTGTGGGTAGATCCGCTTTTCTTTTCCAAAAGATCACCATGGCCAATGTGGAATGGTATATAAAGATAAAACTAGAAGGACACAGTGGGCCAGGGATTTAGCTCATGGTGTCACCGCCTGCCTCGCAAGCGTCAGGACCTGAGCTCAATCCCCAATACCAAAAAAAATTATAGGACCAGACATGGTGGCACATGCCTGTGATCCCAGCACTTAGGAGGCTGAGGCAGGAGGAACACCACAAGTCTGAGATCAGCCTGGGCTACACAGTGGGTTCAAGGCTAGCCTGGACTACATAGCAAGACCCTGCCTCAAAAAACAAACAAACCAGACCAGACCACATATTGAGGTGTGGTATACATGTCTGTAGGGAGGCTAAAGCAGGAGAATTACAGTGCAGAACTTGCCTACCGTGTTCAAGGCCATAGGTTTGATCCCCAATGCCACACACAAATGCTCAGGAGTCAGGCATGATGGCCTGCATCTATCATCCCAGCTACTCAGGAAGCTGAAGCAGGACTACTACTGTTTGAGGCCAGCCTAGGTAACATAACCAGAACCCAGCTCGAAAAAGAAAAGAAAAAGCCCAGTCTTCCATAGCTAGAAGGAGAAGGAAGGGTGTTATCATTCACTGAGAAGGAGGACACAGAAGACAGCAATTTTCGAAGAGGACTGAGGTGAGCTCCATGTGGACCTGGAAGACATCCTGTTGTCTAGTCACAGTTAAATATGCGGGCCATCTGAACTGGAAACACACATTCCAAACTCAGCCACATGTACAGGTAACTGAAGCCTTGAAAAGACTCCCAGTGATCACCTGGGGGGACCGCAAACTATAGAAGAGAACCAGAAAGAGAAAAGCCAACAGGTAAGAAGAATCAAGTGGAAGTGATGAGGGGCTTCCAGGAGAAAGTTATCAACAATGCTCCTACCAGAGTTCGGACGTCAAATTTATCAATTAAAAGCTGGACAAGTCTAGGGGATTAGCTCCGTGGTGCCGCCACCTGCCTCAAGCGCAAGGAAGTGAGTTTGATCCCCAGTACCAAAACAAAGGGCTGCTGGACAATCTAGGAAGAGCTGTTTTAAAATAGTAACATCAGCAGAATCAGATTATAATGGACTAAGGACCTTATAGGCTTGGAAACATATATGCGTGTGAGTGTGAGTGTGCGTGTGCGTGTGCGTGTGTGTTTAGAAAATTAGCTATGAAAGGAGAAAGTGGTGGGGGGGAACAATGAAAACAGATTTAACTTACTTTCTTCCAGACAAGAGAGACCTCGCGTTTTCATTTAGAAAGGCAGCTGAAAAGGGGTGGGTGAAAACTGTAAGAGCATAAAGATTTCAGAGAACACAAGCAGGAATGGAATACAGGAATACAGACTTACGCTGGAGCAGCAATGAATAAACTTTTCTGTTACAGGATTATTATATATTGCTAATAAGCATATAAATTAGTACAATCACCACCATAGTACTTGGCACCAGCTAACAAAATGTTAAAAATTCTTATCATTAGACCTGACAATTCCATATCTAGGAATTTATCTTTCAGACTTATTTGGGCAAAAGGATATGTATAAGATTACTCATTGCAGCAGTGTGAACCAAAAAAAGATGGGAAATAACTCGAATATCCTCAACAAAAGACTACTTCAGTTATGGTACATCTATACAAACTAAGTAACTATGAGGGGGAAATGAGGCTGCTCTTTATGTACTGATATATTAAGCAAAAACAAGAAGTGCAGAAAAGTGTAAATGCTACTTTGTGTCTCTAAACAGTGAAGAAATAGAATCCCATTCATGCTTGCTTAACTATGCATAAAGAATAAGAATCTAAGAACAGTAGTTGCCTACTGTGGACAGAGGGTTCTATCTGGACACATAGTGAACAAAAATGATACTTTAATACTATTTTCTAACTTGTGCCTGAGGAAATTTTATTATCTACTCAAAAAATTAAGGTAGGGCTGGGGATGTAGCTTAGATGTACAGTGCATGTCTAATATGCAGTAAGGGCTGAGTTTTGAGCCTCAACACCACAAATAATAAACTATTATGAAATTTCTTTTCAATTTTCCTTCCACTGAGATAGTAATTAAAAAGAATACAGGCTAGGGATGTAGCTCAGTCACACCTGCCTTGCCGTACCAAAAAAAAAAATAAAAATACAATGATTCTAATAAATTTTAGAAACAAGATACAAGTGAAAACGAGAAGCCTAACAGCTTTAAAAGTTTAAGTATTTGCTTCTATTTTCTCTCTGCAAAACAGCTAAGAGAATAAGGAGAACTGTGACAGATGACATGGACTTGGGAAGTAGAAGAAAATCAAGTGTGAAACAGCAGATATGGAGAATAATGATAAAACTTTAAAAATACAAATGATTTGGATATGGTGCCCACCTGTAGCTATTATTGGGCGGTGGTGTGAGGGGGAGCTGAAGCAGAGGGATCACTTAAACACAGGAGATGAGGCCTGCCTGAGCAAGACAATGAATCTCCGATTTTTTTTAAAGCAGAACATTTATTGGTACATTTTAGGCACACATAATGGTAACACTCATCATGGGGAATTTGCACCTGTACATGAAACATCCCGCCTTTTTCCCATTCCCCTACTCCCGTCTATGTACAAAAGCTTTGTTTCCATTTCAAAAAACAAAAAAATTTAAACAGAAAAACATGCAAACACACTAGACATGACTAAGAATTTTTTATGTGAAAAGATTATTTGACCCTGTTCAGGAAAATACATACAATCTGCCTTTTAAGGCAATTTTAAATACAGTATAAAGAAATGCTAAACTAAGCCAACTTCTCAGCCCACTGTTCTCTATCCCTAGTGTATTTTCAGGGCCTAGCGCAATGTCGGCACGGGCTGATGTCCTGTGACCACAAATAAAACTAGTCAATAAACTGTGGTATGAAAATAAGTAAAAGGAGGGAGCTTTTGACAGAAAAGTCTGTCGAGGACTCTGCACGCTATCTCAATGCTGGAATGTGCTACCAGATCTAACAGAACGAGACGTGGAGAGAACAGGAGTCAACCTGAACTGAAACACTAGCGCCACGTTTCCTGGCGCTGAACCTCTGGCAAACCCAGTTCCATTCGAGCCTGGGGAATGTGGGGGACGCGAATGGGAACTCAGGCCGCGAGCAGCGGGCAGGGCCCCAAATCCTTATTCCACTCATTCCCCTGAGCTTTCCTACTTAGGAGAGTACAGAAGGTATTCAGTGTACCGAGTGGTCACCTACCCTCGTCTGCGTCATACATATTGGCAACGGGCTCTGGACCTTCTAATTCTTGAAATCACAAACAGGAGTGCATCAACCACCCGAACCTCCACAGAGAGACGAGCTAATTTCCGCTTCCGGCGCTCCCAGAATCCTCTGCGCCCCATCCACACGGCGCTGCACGATTTGAGCCTGCGCGGACTGCAAGGTAAAGTTGGGCCAGAGTAAGAGTTGCGCACGCGCAAATGATGAACCGCTGTCAGGCGGCTGAGACGACCTGCAAAGAGCAAGGATTAGGTCCAGCCAGTAAAAGTTTGTTTTTCATAGTCAAACGGTCTTGATTTTTTTTGTCACAAATAATGATACTTGAAATGGCCAAGTAAATTCATTAATGGAAGTTTTTGGTTGTGGCGTGAGTCCTCAATATTCAGTGCCTAATTTGCACTTCTAAAGACCAAATCCTTCCCAAAATGTGACATACTAAAGGCACATGGTGATGTGTTGGAGAAGCCTAAAAGTGAGCAAGCTTGAGTACACTTTTTCTGACCACCTAAGTACTCAGAGACTTTGCGGTCGCTTTAAATGCGTTCTCAAGCCTCAGCGTTCCCATCGCGAGAACTCACGGAACCAGGTCATGGTGATGTGTTGGAGAAGCCTAAAAGTGAGCAAGCTTGAGTACACTTTTTCTGACCACCTAGCTAAGTACTCAGAGACTTTGCGGTCGCTTTAAATGCGTTCTCAAACCTCAGCGTTCCCATCGCGAGAACTCACGGAACCAGGCTCCCGGCGGTCCCCGAGCCTGCCCGCGGACCCCAGCACGCATGCGCACGCCGGGCAGTACTCATGCTGCCTGCACGCCTGGCCCGCCCGCTGCTGTGCGGTGTCCTGCGGGGGTCAGCGTCTGCCCAGGCGCGCCATGGCTTCCTGGAAAGGAAGTGCGCGGCTGCCTCCTCCTTTCTGCGCGGTAGGCGTCATCGGGGCCCCGCGGCAACTGGGGATCTGGAAAGAGTCATCGGCGTGGAGGAGCAGTTTCTGTTCCCCGAGTATATCCTGGAGCCAGAGCCCGCGCCCACCCCTGAGGAGCAGATACAGGAGCTGGTGCAGCGGCAGCAAGAGGAAGAGCGACAGCGGCGGCAGCGGCTGGACGAGCGGCTACAGCGGAAGCTACGGGTTGGAGGCCGCGCGTCCCCGGCCGCTGAG